TATTCGGACTATGTTGACAGTCGTTAAAGAACGTTCATAGATAGCTAACGGAACAAACTTGTCCCGTTCTGTTTTGGGGTTCACTCTCAATGGCTCAATGGTTAGAGCGTTGCACTTCTGGTCAACAGGTCGCAGGTTCAAACCTTAGGTGCTGCGCTACCTGGGATTGGGTATAACGGACTGATGACGGCTAATGAGCCAGAAGCGGTCAACCCAATCTTCCTTTTCTTAGTCGTCGGCTGTGTTTGAACTTCGCAACAAGATTTATGGAGATTCACTAAGTACACAGCTCCAAGCAACAACAGTGGAGGTAAATAGCACATCGCCACACGGTCAAGTGTTTGAAGTGAGAATATTTATATGGTGTGGACTAGGTTCTCCCCTCAGGCCTGAGACAGTACAAGTAATAATGACAGCAACAATATTTACCCGAAAATCGCGTGTTTAATCTAAACACACATTAGCGTGTGTCAATGACAAAAAATTGTTACTACCACTTACGCGAAACCCAAGTCGACGAATAAAATCCCGCGAGGTCCATCGCAGCAGAGGATCATAGAAGTAGGTCTTAGAGGGCTGGAAAAGAGTGGAATCCTTCATTAAGGCGGTCAAAAAGGCCAGCTGACGTAGGCTAGATCGATCCACCGCAGGATTGCCGAGACCCAGACACAAACAGAAGACGGAAGAATCATGGTCAGGAGGCTGTGGGAGGCTCCGGTGCAAAGACGTAAAAACACTGTCCAACTGGGTACGCACGGCAGCCACAAACTGCCTACCGGAGGAGGAGCTTTCAAGGTAGTCCAATGCAATTGAGAACTTCTTTTGCAGGGATCCCGGGGTGTCATCCGGCAGGACAATTAGCATGCGCGGGAGAGGGCGTTGGAACGAAGTCCGTTGTTCTCGCAGGCGTATGCGCGGTGGAGAGGTGAGACCGGCTCTGCGGAGACGTCGCCGCATGCTCTTAGATACGGCACACTTCCAGCCCTGCTCGTCCTCATCATCGTCATTGCTGACTTGGATGTTCGGGCATAGAACAGGCGCTCCGGGCTGCATGCGTTTGTGTGAGAA